CACCTACTTAGAACAAGCTTAGCAAAGCACAGGGACCGCGGTTCAGTCCCCCAGCACCACATGCCAGCCAGCCCCGCCCCCTGGTGGGCTGAGCTGGCCACACACACACACACACATACAAATAAATAAATTTTAAAAAATAAAATAAATAAATAAATAATGCTGGCCCCAAAAAACCCCTGTACGTATACCCACTTGAGAAAAATATGAAACAGGGCAATGCACATTTTGCATTGAGTAGTGACAAACTGCAAAAGGATGCAGATGCCTAGAGCAGAATAAGGGCAAAACCCTAACAAGGACACAGTGCAGAGAGCTCAGTCCTTGTTGGTTTCAGAGGCTGGTCAGAAGGGATGATTCAGAGCACCCAACCCAGGCAGCAAGGTTCAAAATAAACAGGGAAGAGGGTGGGGGCTTGTTTATTGGCAAAGGTAAAGTGGAAGTGAAAAAAGAAATCCCTGAGTATGTTTACAAAGTCATGCTGAGATCCCAAGTAGAAATAGGACACCCTCTCACTGGACTGCACTTTTTGTGTGACATCTTACCACTCAAGTAGAAAAGCCAGTTAGAAGCTAAGGAGTTTAGATTTGTAAGAATATTAAATATTTTGTCCTAACCCAAGGTAGTTTTGATGTTATATTTCTTGATTAATTGAAGGTGTGATTCCTTAGTTTTAGCCAATGGCAAGCAACACTGTTTTGAAGTTGCCAATGTCAACAGTTCCATAAACCCAGTGTTAGAGGGAACTGTCCTGTGTGCAGAGGCTCATCTAGTGTTCATGAACAAAGTTTTTATATTCAGCTTGGAAAAGTCTGAATCTTGACTCCAGACATTATTGACTGTTTCACAGTGTAAATATTTTTAAGCAGACGCAGGCCATAGCTAGTCAACAAATCTTTGTTGACTATACTTGACTTATTACATTAAAGCAGTAATGAACTTGAGAATGAGAGATTCGAGATCAATCTATCCTATGAAGTTAAGTGTTCAGAACACTAGAAGAAATATTTTTCTTTTCTTTTTTCTCTCCCCGTGTGTGCATGCGCGCGCGCTCGCGCGCGCGCGCGTGTGTGTGTGTGTGTGCTTGTGCCTCTACTGAGTTACACTTTAGGTCTTTTCTTTTGATTTTTAAACAGGATCTTAAATTGCTAGGCTGGGCTCCACTTGTTGTACTCCTGCCTCTGCCTCCTGAGCAACTGTGACTGTGGGTGTGTATCACCATGCCCAGTTAAGCAAAATAACTTTTGAAGTTTGTATGTGGTGGGAGGGTATGAGCGAATCACAAGGTATCACAATTACTTTTCCTCTCATTGCTGAGACGAAATACCTGACACCCAAGTTAAAGGAGGGAAGATTTATTTAGCCCACAGTTTGTGGAGGTTTCAGTCCACAGCAGAGTGGCACAAGGCGGAGGGCAGCAGTTCAAGGCAGCAGAAGACAGCAAAAACAGCAAGAATAGAAAGGCAGAGTGGCAGCAGACAGCAAGACTTGCACGTGCCGCAGCAGGCGTCCGCCGCACAGCAGGTGCAGCGCTCTCCCGTGATCCCAGCTCTGGGTCATGAATCACTCACGAGCCCACCCCATGGCTGCATCGGGCTTTGCAGGGGCATCTACATCTAAGTCATAACACAAGGGCTATATTTTTTATTTTCTAAAAACCCTTTAATATATAACTACTGTAAAATCTAATTTTTCAGCATGAGCTTGGACAGGTGCCATCTTCAGCTTATAAGATCTACAGTGCAGCTATAAAGTAACCAAATTATTTTTTTTTGCAGTGGTATTTCCATTTATTTCAGTTTCAGTAATAAAATTTTTCTCTTACATGATTGAACACCTATTTTTCATTAAAATTAACAGTCACAATTGAAGAAACAGCGGCTTATCTTTCTGATGAAAGGACCAAGCTGCTAAATCTTAAGGCCTCAACAAACGTCGCTTCAACCAGGCCTTTTATTTTGATTATTCCTGGTGAGCAGCAATCGTGTTTCTCCAGTGGTTTCCACCTGCCAAACGGTCACGACAGTTGTTCTGACACGGTGCCCACTGCTTCCAGAGATTCCACCAGACGCAGCCTCTTCCCAGAGCAACCCCTACGGCAGCCTCCACTCAGGTCCCTCCACTGGGACTTCTCTATCGAGGCTGGCCAAGAAGTCCTGCTTTAGCTGCCAAGGCTTCGTTCTGCTGAATATGGTATTCCTGAAATCTCATGGATATTCTTTGGGGGTGCGTCATTTTTAAATATTTCTGTAAGCAGTGTTCTGAACAGGTGATCTCTTCAGGTTTTACTTCTCTTGTTGTGAAGTCTTTAACACAGTCCAAAAAGCAGGTTTCTGTAAGTTTATTGTAGGTTCCCAGGAATTCCCTAAACTGTTTTATCTGATCAGATTCTGATATCTGTGCAGCCATATTCTTTTGGTATATTTATGAGTCACCTTTTCTGATGCATGAGTTTCCTCAGTTCCTAAGAAGCAGCTCTCCAACCTCTGCTCAGTGTTTCCAGTGAGGCCTGATTTCTCACCGGCTTGTGCGTCCGCACGTGGCCGGGGGCTGTGCCTGCCGTCGGGAACGCAGACCAAATTATTTTTTGCTGAAACTAAGTGTTTTTACCTAATACTGTATGTATTGCCTGAGAAGTCATCACTTTTATAAATATGTTCTCAGATTTCATTCTTTGTTGGCTCAATTCATAATTTGTATTTTACTGTATTGACTACCTATATTCTATTTACGTGTATGTAAGCTCATTATGTTTTTTCAGTGAATGGTATTGAAAAACCCCAACTGCTGATAATTAAATGAATTAACTGTGTCTTCCTTGTCTTAGGATATTCTGTAGAATGACTGCAGATGTTTTAAACCTAGAATGAACTTTGCACTATAACTCTCAGTATGCTGATACTGGAGAAACACTTGTTTTAATTTTGTCCTGCTTGACTTAACATTATTAAAATGTGAATTAATTGCACTGCTAAGTAGGAAGATATGTAACTTTTATTGGTTGCTATTCACATTTGAATTTTTTTCTGTAGAGGCAACATTACATTGACACCTATTACAGATTTTATTATAGCTTTTCCATATACATAAAATGCTTTTTCTACTAAAAAAAAGAACAGATAATATGCTGTATTTATACACAGTGGAATAATACTCTTCCTTAAAGAAAAAACCTGAATTTGTAGGTAAGTGGATACAACTTGACAATATGTTAAGTGAAATAAGTCAGGCATATAAGTTTTAATGGGGCCGGGGAGATGGCTCAGTGGAATAAGCGCTTCCCTGGCAATCCCTGGTTCCACCAAAAATAATAATAATAATAAGTTTTAATATCACTTAGTTTATCTTATGAGAAACTCAAAGTATATATGCAAAATGGAGACCAAAACAGAAATGAGATAAATAGGAGGTAGAAAGAGGTTCAGATAGGTCCCCTAATTATCTATTATTGCTGTTTCAAAAACATTTTTACATGCTAATTTTTTCATTTATACTACTAGTTTCTCTGAGTTCACTGAAAAGAAAGTTTTGGGCAGGTGAGACAGTTCAGCAGACTAAGCACCTGCTTGGGCAAGCGCAGGGAGTTTGATCCCCAGCACCACACAGGGTGCCAGCTCTGCTGCTGAGCTCGCTGAACCAACCCCGAGACCGGGTGTGATGGTACACAGCTGTAATCCCAGCTCGCTGAACCTACCCCGAGACCGGGTGTGATGGTACACAGCTGTAATCCCAGCACTGAGGAGACTGCATACTCAGACTGACCTAAGCACGCCTTACTTGAGAAGGCCTCTTCTTCTGTCTTCATTCTAGCTGAATCATATTTTCTATACATGTTATCATGTCTACTCTTCTTGGCAGATAAGCCATCTCTAGAAGCAGGTCTTCTCTTTTTCCTTGGGGACATCACTTTACTAAAGCAGTCCGAAGAACTACAAGACCAGAGGCTTCTGGTTTGGTGATTGTCTTGGCCAACATCTTCTGTTAGATTCAAGTTATTAAGGGTGTGGTAGATCATATGAATATTTGGGAGCGTTGATAGATGAGAGTCAAAAAAAAAGGGGGTGGGCCAGGGAAATAGCTCAGTAGAATAAGAGCTTGCCTGGCAAGCGCAAGGGCCTGAGTTCAATCCCTGGTTCCACCAGAGAGAGAGAGAGAGAGAGAGAGAGAGAGAGAGAGAGAGAGAGAGAGAGGAGAGTCCAACTGAAAGTTGACAGCTGCAGCATCCAAGGGCATTTTTGGACAGCTCACTCCCTGCCCAGGCTCTCGCGCTTGCCTCGCACTACCCCCACCAGTCACTGCACCACATACAGTGTGCTTTTAAACAGGTAAAGTAAAATATGCATAGAAAAATATATATCTGCATGCTATCATGGCTGTTTCTGGAAATAAAATTACTAGTGACAAATTTTTTGCATTTATATTTCTTTATATATATCTCTTTGAAAAGAGGAGGTTTTTATTTTATTCTTTTTAATCTTTTTAACCTAAACATATTACTAAAATGCAATAAACATACCTTCATAAACCTTCATAAATTTCTTGGCTTCTTTCCATTTAGTAAATGAAGTCTACAGAAATGATAAGCTGGTATAAAATGACTATCTCTGAGTAGGATTTTTCATACATGTCATTTACTAACCATTATCTACACCTACATTTATTTCTGTTTTTAAATGGATTAGCACATTATACTGTACTAAAGGGAAAAGATTGAGAATGTCTACCTTGCAAAAAAGATTTGTGTCTCTACTGCACCATCAATTCATTAAAATATGCTGAATTAGAAGCCAAATGTAGTATAAACATGACAACTAAAGAGAAGTACAATATTTTCCTTCATTATTCTTGGGCATTTCAAAAATTTTACCAATAGTCTTCCGTTACTTTGGGTTAATTTATAAACAGATTTGACAGATTAATATGCTTTTCTCTCCACATATCTGAAATTGAGAAACGAATTTGAGTTGTTTTAAGTGCTCTTTCGACTCTAGGAGAAGGAGGTGCTTTTCAATGAGATATTCTGTTCATCTTATCCTAGAGTTTAAAAAAAAAGAATATGTAAACAAGCATTTCAGTAAAATTATCTAGTTGAGAGCTACAGTACAGGATCAGTATCTGGACGTGTAATCCTCAGAAAATTCTCTTTAGCTTAGTTCCAAGATGCTGAGAGGTACGTGAAATGCAGGCAACTTTCCAAAAGTTATACACTACATATGGTAGGTCCCCTTAGTCAGTCATTGTTTGTATTCTGTTTAATAGGTAGATTTCGCTAGTTACACATGTGGGTAAGCAGCAAAAAGATCCTGGCCATACAGCAGGCATTCACCAAGTATTTGCTGGCTCATTTCTCACGGCTTCTCACGATGAGTGGAATCGATCACCTACTGCGCCAGGTACGAAGCTAAGTACTAGAAAAACAGTGATGGCCCTTCCGCCACAGCAACCACTGAAAAAGAGTGGCCATGGCCCTCCGCTATCCCATGGCCGTGGGCCTCAATAAGGGCCACAAGGTGACTAAGAATGTGAGCAAACCCGGGCACAGCCGCCGCCGCGGACGTCTCACCAAACACCAAGTTCGTGCGAGACACGACCCGGGAGTTGTGCAGCTTCGCCCCCAATGAGCGGTGCGCCATGGAGCTGCTCAAGGTCTCCAAGGACAAGCGCGCCCTCAAGTTCATCAAGAAAAGGGTGGGGACACACATCTGCACCAGGAGGAAGCGTGAGCAGCTGAGCAACGTGCTGGCCGCCATGAGGAAGGCAGCTGCCAAGAAGGACTGAGCCCCTCCGGAATAAAGCTTTGCAGAAAGTTAAAAAAAAAAGAAAGAAAGAAAGAAAGAAAGAAAGAAAGAAAGAAAGAAAGAAAGAAAGAAAGAAAGAAAGAAAGAAAGAAAGAAAGAAAAACAGTGATGGGGAGAGACGTGAAACTTTTCGTAGTGTATGAATTCCTATGGATAATTTTTTTTAAATTACCTGCAGATTTTGCTCCTCTAATACATTTTGTGCATAGTATCTTTCTTTATTCACTGATAATGTGAAATGTCATAATTCGCATCATCAGTCTGATTCATATTAAACTGACCAGCTGTGGCTGTATAGCAAATAGTAGCAGCTGATATCATGTGGCAAAAATCCATCTGGTAACTTACAGAAATGAGGCTCTATCGAATCCTTATATATTGTAACATGATCACCATAAAAGCACGACATAGGATGCAAATAGAGGACTGGGGGCTTTTAGGAGTGTAGCCTGGATGGGTTAGCAATAAGGGGGAGCCAGGAACAAGACTCTTCTCGGTTGTATGGATGAAAGCAATGCAATTATGTTCAAAATCAAACATTTTTTTATCATCTAATCCCAACTGAACTCAACAACTTACTGGACTTTTATATCATCAAATAAAGACAATTTATGCTTTAATCAGTCTTATAATATGAATTTAGGAAATTATTCATCTTTAAATAGTTTTGTGAGCTTTCTTGGAATGGAGAGTATACCTATTATAAATGGGCTCTCACAAAATGAGAGGAAAATTGGGATCAACACCCCCAGTAGCAAAGTGGCCCAGGGTTAAGGTGCATCCACCTTTCCTCCAGGACGATGAGATATCTGCAGATTGTGAGCACAGCTGCTGCCTAAGGTCCCAGTGCTGATCCCACTGCCCAGAACACTGGCATTTGTGCCTATTTAGTCACAACTCTCCACGTGACTCCTTTCTCATGGCTCAGTGGCTGTACTATCTGGCTGCCCAGTGTTGAGGACATTTTTTTTTAAATTTAGGACAGTGTACAGGGTGTTCAGGGTCTCACTGTCTAGATCGGGCTTGTAGTGATCCTTCTGTTTATAGCCTCCCAAATGCTGGGATTATAGGTGTGTGCTACCACACCCAGTCTCAATTGCAATCTCAGCGCACCAGGGGGCACTGCAGGCCGGGGCGTCGAACTCCCGGCCCCTGTACCTGCCTAAGCAGGTGCTTTAACCCACTGAGCTATCTGGCCAGCCCTACTTCATTATTGTTAAGTTCAGGTCCCACAACTGGTTCCTCTTTGCTACATGAAGTCCCCTTAGTAATAGGTTTTGGTTTCAGTTTTAACTTTCTTAGTGGCTACATTTTCACGCCACTGACCCCATACCCTACAGACCCACGTCTGGCCTTGTTCCTAAGGGCACTTTCGCAGGGTTCTCACTTCACTAACAACATCCCAGGTCTCAAGCACTGTTCAGCTCAGGGATGCAGCAGCGCTTCACAGTTACAGCCGTGGCTCTGGGGACAGGCTGCCCAAGTTCAAATCCCCATGCTTCTACCCACTAGTCAAATGGTGTTGGCTAGACTACTTGTTCAACCTTTCTGTACCTTGTTTTCCTTAACTATAAAATTATACCTGTTCCATATTACTGTAAATATTAAATAGGATATTAAATATTGCTCTATATATTAAGAATCCACAAAATGCAGTACTTACTGTTTGTCATTCTGATTCATGTCTTGGTTGAAAGTATGCACAGTTTTTCCTCATTTCTTTTCACTCAGGTTATCACTGATAGTAGATGGATTGGGGGGGCTCATGTACTCCATTGCATGTTCCCACATTATTTGGTTACTGTACTTCCATGTCTAGATCTCTGTCTTCTGTATATCCCCCTACAAATGACCCTGGCAGACACTGGCTATGACAGTGAGAAAGAAGCAATGTTTGGTTCCAAGATATATGTGTGCTGGGGAGCAGTACGCGGGTCCAGCAACACACTGGGCGAAAGAAGGGGCCCCACGAGGCTCTTGCCTTGTTCTTAGCTTCCTCATCTCCTTTCCTTCACTTCACTGGAAACAAAGGTTGTCCATCTAGAAGAAATGAGAGCACAAGATCCCACCACCACACACCAACACAGACAGGCTGGCCATGAGCCAGAAAGTCTTTCACCAGCAGAAGTAAAGAAAAAAGCCAGGCGCTAAGTCTGGTATCGTGTATGCTCTGGGAACACTTGGTTAGTTGTTTGACTTTCACAGTGACATAATGTGGGTTACACAAAAAGTAACTTGAGAGAAAGAGGTCAAGGGGAGGTTGACGTTTGCTTTCGATAGCACGTACCCCTGGTTCACAAACCGCACAGCACCCTCGGGAGGGCGTACAGGGTTCAAGAGCATCTGCTTCTTACTCATCAGTCCTCCTTGCCTCGGATAGCACTTGGCTTGTGGCAGCAAACTGTTTCTGCCCAGTAGTCCTAGCTCTACACCTCCCACTAGGAGATTCTTTTTAATGCTCCAAATCCTTTCCAGGGCCACTGTCAATATTTTCAAAAGCAAGATGATGATTATTAGCATATTCTCCTTTTAGCACAAAGTGTTTGAATACTCACTTGTTTGAATACTCATTTTTCAGTTATTGGGGTCAAGGTTTATTTTGTTTAATTCACCGAGCCACCCAAGCAGGGTCTTCGTCATTTAATCTTTTATTTCACTTCATACATTCATTTATTCCCCCATTTGATTAAGCCTCTATAATGTTCTTATATAATTTACCTGCACCTAAACAACTACACAAAAGCCAGTATAGGTACACATGTAACATGGCAAAAAAAAAAAAAAAGGATCCAGAATAAATAAAAGTTAATATATAGAATTCATTCAGCCAAATTTATGATTCTGACTTAACTCCTGCAATAAATGGAAATGTCTCCACAGAGAAGAAAACCAACTTACAACAGACTGAAGAATATTCTAGAAGCCACAAACTAATGGTACTTAACCCCCTGAAATAAGCAATGACTCACTGAATATTGCATTTAAAACACATAGCAAATTACTTGGAAAATGATGTCTGTACATTGGTAAATAGAAAATTGTAGGTCTTGCATCCTGATACCACTCAAGAAATTTGAGTAATGATTTGCACTGGGCTGTGGCCTATAGCTTACAATCACTTACTTAGGTTTTGAGACTCGCTCAACAAATATTTTGTGAATTTTTGTGCAGAAAATCACAATGCAAGTCAAGTAAGTTGGTAAATTCAGGTTAGTGGGCCTAAGTTATTTTTTCTGATTTCTGAATCTGCAGATTTTAATGCTGAAGACTCTGCATGGACCTAGGGGTTCCCACTGCCATTGTCACTGACACTTGTTCGCTCTCCAAAACTTAGAACAAGGAGTACTATCTTTGGGTTAAGAGAAGAGAAAGTTTCTGTCTCAAGTCTACCACCTCTAACTGTGTGACTTAGAGCAAGTTATTTTATGCCACTATGTCTCCGTTTCCTTAATTTTCAAAATGAGAATAATATCTGCTTCAACAGATCATTGTAGGATGTAGAGGCAATGGATAGGAAGTATTTTGTACTCAATAAACAATTGCTATTCATTTTATAGGGACAATGATTTTATTGTCCAAGCATGCACTCAGGTTCTACTTCTAGAGATACCGTCACTGAGATTACTCACCAAGCTGAACGCCAAGAGTCGCCTCTCCACCCCCACTTGGGTATGGAGTAGATGAAGCTATCTATCAAGAGCAGTTGCTTCCCCTTTCAAGGGCCTTCAAGGCAGACACCATGATCCCTTCTGTCAAGACCTTATAAAGATTAAGCTATTCTTTATATCTATCCTACATCCCCTGCCAGTCAAGCAGTGTCCTGTCCTATCCTGTCTAGATAGAAAAAAACTGCTTGTTAGCCCATGGCCATGGACTTTCAAATTCAGGTGCTCACAAACATTTATTAAACACTTTCTTGTGTGTGACACCCTATAAAAGATCAAGGAAATAGATTCATATTTGACAAACTCTTGTATAAGTACCCCACACTAATCAATGGTGCTACTGGAGCTCCAGTGAAAAGCAATTGAAAATCCAGACGCAGACTTTGTAGACCAATCCAAGCAAACTAGAAGCACCGTACAAGTCAGGATTAGGTGTGCTGGGCTAAGGAGATAGATCAGTGGCACTGAGCCTGCCTGGCAAGCACAAGGTCCTGAGTTTGATTCCCAGGACAAAAAAAAACATAACAACAACAAAAAGGATTAGGTATGCTCGTTTGATGCAATCATAGGAACAACTAAAGCTAAAACTGACAGGCCAGGGAGATAGCTCAGTGGAATAAGTGCTTGCCTGGCCAGCACAAGGTCCTAAGTTCAATCCCTGGTACTGAAAAAACAAAACAAAACAGAAAAGCTAAAACTGAGCAGGGATAATACCTAAAACATATATACAGATGCTATGGAATATGTAAGAAGATTTGAAGCAAAATACAGTTATACATAAGTAGTGTATTCAGGGACAAGTTTGCTGCAACAGTGAATACTACTATATTTGATATAATGCAGGGCTGAAGATGTTACTGGAAGTGATGCAGTCAGCTGGAATTAAAGAGGTCCTGCAAGAGGCACAAGCGCCCTCTGAGGTTGCTGCTTCTCATAAGAGAAACAGAACTGGCTCAGCTCTAGGCACACATGTTCCAGGAGAGGGGAAGAAGGCTGTGTGGGGTGCAGAGCCGGCAGGATCTCTGCAGGGCAGCCTGGTCTCAACAGAGAAGGGCAGTGGGCAAAGAAGAGAGGCAAAGAGAAAAGAACCAACCTCTTCCCAGAATACGCTAAACCTTCTGCTTCCACTCTCTTACTCCTATAACCCTTTTTAGAGACCTTCTAGGTTGTATTCTAAATTTTAAAATCATAAAACCTGGTAATAATAATAAGCTTGTCTTCTGGATGGTTAGCAACCTAAGTATGCAGACCAAAATTAGAGAAAAAGGAGGGCTGCAAGGAAAGCCAACATTTTGGCCCTAGCCTTCCAAGGTCAATTAAGACTCAGGACATATAAGAACTTGTACTGTAACATCATGTAACTCAGTAGTGTCCCAAATTTTCTGATTAAGGAGATTATCAGAAGGGGCCAAAGAGGAAAGTGATCGATGATGTAGAGTGTGCCTAAGGAGAGTCACATGGAAAGAAAACATTCTCTCAGGCTTTCACAGAGAACACATTGGCCAAGCAACGGCTGTGACTCATCCACATGGCTGACACTGACAAAGGTTCTACAATCTGAGGTACAGGATCTCAGGATAAATCCTGAGGGGATTTCACTGACCTTATCAGACCCAATTGCATAGGTCCTGCTTTACCTTGGTCTTAACCACCCAGCAGAAAAGTATAAAAATGAAATATAACATGCTGTTATGTTGAGCTGTAGCGGACTCAGGTCAACAATTTCTGACACTGCCAGTCAAGCGGAAGACCCAATGCTATTATGGGCTACTGGACTCTTTTAGAATATTTTGCTGAGTTCACACACCTATAATATTCAAATGACAGAATTAAACAAAAAAAAAGGGGATACAGATGAATGTCCATTTTGTATCTGTGTATTCAAAGTGGATAGGATAGATATATAGTTACATTCTCTTAATGAATAGAGGGATTTGTTCTAATGGTGTTTGTAAATATGCTATCAAGTCCACATCTTGTACAACATTAACCACTAGGAAGAATGTATGCAATGTGTTAATTATTGAAACTCTCCTACCAATTTGGTTTGAAACTGTCTCATTGCTATTTGTTTATCAATAAAATTATGGGGAAAAAATAAAATAAAATCATAAAACCATGCTATATACCAAAAACTAGCCAGGGAAACATAGCCTAGTCTGATATGGAAGATAAACTCATTCTTTAAAAATGTTTCTCTTGGGCTGGTGAGATGGCTCAGTGGTCTAAAGCACCTACTTAAAGCAAGCTAAACAAAGCCCAGGGACCGCGGTTCAATCCCCAGCACCACATGCCAGCCAGCCCTGCCCCCTGGTGGGCTGAGCTGGCCACACACACACACACACACACACACACATAAATATTAAAAATAAAGAAAGAAAAATAATTTAAAAAAAAAATGTTTCTCTTGCTCTCTGCATTTGAGCCTCCTCACATCGACATGCCTAAGCACACCAAGAAGGTCTGCATTGTCGGTAAATACAGGACTCGCTATGGTGCCTCCCTCCGGAAAGTGGTGAAGAAGATTGAAATCAGCCAGCACACCAAGTACACCTGCTCCTTCTGTGGCAAGACCAGGATGAAGAGGCGGGCCGTGGGGATCTGGCACCGTGGCTCCTGCATGAAGACCGTGGCTGGTGGCGCCTGGACCTACAACACCACTTCTGCGGTCACAGTCAAGTCAGCCATCAGAAGACTGAAGGAATTGAAAGACCAGTAGAAGCTCTTACTGTTTGAGACATGTCTTGCCTATAGTAAATGGGTTAATTTATGTAAAAAAAAATGTTTTTCTTGCCTTTAGTGTTGTCTGGACTGTGAGTAATAAATACAACTTGTACAGCCAGTTTAGGGTTGTATTATGCTTCTATACTTCCCTTGTATAAACATGTCCAGAGGTTTGTCCAGAGGAAGAAAAATTAGAGTAATATTAACTTACGGATTGTGATTTCTAGACTACACTTATCTTGACATGCCAGGTGGTATGTAGTAAATTCCTTTTATATTGTAGGTGCACAAAACATTTTTATTGAATAAAATAATGAACAACAAACCTATCTATATCTTCTTAGCAACATTTTTCACTGTCTAAATTTGTATCAAGTATAATAAATAAGCCAGACTCAAAATTAAGTTTCTAGGCTGGCGAGATAGCTCAGCAGTCTAAAACGCCTGCTTAGGGGCTGGAGAGATGGCTCAGTGGTCTAAAGCACCTACTTAGAACAAGCTT